AATGTTTCATTTTGAACATTGTTTGTTTCGAGTGTTTACTTTAGATATTGATATAGTTAATTTAAGCATTATTTGTTTTGAATTTTTAAATTTTGAATTTGTATTTTAATTGAAAAAAAAGGGCAAGAAATGAGGCAGGCCCACGTCCTGCACCCTCCCCTCGCCCCGCTGCCATCTCTACTTCCATCAACCTTTGTCATCTGCATTTCCTCTTTAATGTCTTGGCCACCTTTCCTCATTTTTAATCTCAGTACTAACATTTGCAGGTGGTTGTTTGGGGTTCCGATTTTCTAAAAATACATTTTTCAAAGAATAATGCTATTAGTAATTAGCGACTACAACTACAGTAATCGCTCTATGTTCCATTTTATTTGTGATTGCTTCATTATTAATAAGAAATCCATTTGATTGTTTCATTTTTTTTCAATTATTAAAACCATGACACATAGGGTTGTTATATATGACGATTACTGTAATCATTCACTACGAATAGCATTATTTTTTTTCGAAACTCATTTCTAATCACACATTATCTCAAAAAATAATTTTACACATATATTAAAAAAGATCTTATTTTTTAATTACACTTTTTTTTAAAAAAAAAAATCACTATTAAAGAATATATATTTTTCAAAAAAGGGCTCACAGAGGGGTTAATTATAGAGTAAATTTAAAAATTAAATAAACGTGTAAAAATATCATATACTGTCCTTTGGAAAGAACCGAATTGGGCTTAGTCCTCAAATGGCTGGCACCATGCAATGGTCAAGGGTCAACCATCTTCTCAATTTTACCGTACAAAACACACAACAATTCCTTTTAACCAAAGAGCCAAGAAGCCGTCTCGATTCTTCTTCGTTAATTCCCATTAATCCATTCTCTCTCTATATTTATATGATGTGTACTTGTGTATATCCTACCAACTCAATTTGCACATATATAACTCTCTCATTGTCAATTCATTCTCTCTCTAATTCTTGAAAATGGTGATGCTTGTGAACTGTTCCAAGTGCCGGACCACCTTACAGCTCCCACACGGAGCAAAATCCATACGCTGTGCAGTCTGCCGCGCCATCACTCTCATCGGCGAACCCCACAACGCGCCACCTACGCCGCCACCAACTTATCTTCCGTCTCCCACCACCTCCAGTACCAACAACTATAACTACTATGCTTCCCCGCAGGTACCCCATCCGGCAACTGTTCCAGCTCCGTCTCCGTACAACCACGCTCCACCAAGTCAACCAGCCTCGGTCCATGGACGGAAAAAGGCCGTGATCATTGGGATCTCGTACAAGAAATCGAAGAATGTGCTCAAGGGTTGCATTAATGATGCTAAGTGCATGAAGTTCATGTTGGTCAACCGCTTCAAGTTCCCTGAAGCCTCCATTCTCATGCTTACTGGTAATCAAACTGAAAAAAACTTTTTTTTTTTTTTTAAATTGCGGGGCTTTAAAAATATATAAACAGGTACAATATATTTTCAAATTTTTCTTCGACGATTCATGAATCTATGATTTATCATGGGATTGATTTATTGAACATGAATTTTGCAAGTTGCATTTTTAGACTTTACTTTAGAGTGTGTTTGGTAGTGATTTTTGAAGGAAGAATTGATTTTTGAATAGTGATATGATAGGAAAAGTGTGGTTGAAAAAGAAGAAAAAAGTATTGATGTGATGGAAAATATTATTATATTAAATTGATTTTTGAATAGTGATTTGATGAGAAATGTGTGGTTGAAAAAGAAGAAAAAAGTATTGATGTGATGAAAAATATTATTTTATTGAAGAATGTGTGGTTGAAAATGAGAATTGATTTACTGTAGAAAATGAAAATATGTACCAAACAGGCCCTTACTGTCCTCTTGGCTTAAAAGAACGGCAGAAATATAGAACAAGGAGCTTTTATATTGGAGGGAGGACAATGATTAGATTGGAAAATAGTTTTATTTTTATTTAAAATATCTATTTATTAAAATGTCCTCTTTGACATTGGCCTGAGTTTGATCGAAATCAACCTCAATCTGGTTAAATTCGGCTCTTAATTCTCCTCTAAAAGATACGAATGTAAGGAGATTTGTGTACTTCGACCTAGAAGTGTAAACGAGCCAAGTGCTATCTAGGGTTGTGACAACCCGTTCTTGAAATTCCCTACTAGACACTAAGGGTCGAGTTGTCCTTTGACTCATCTGAGAAGTCAGGTTGTGCGAGCTAAGCTGCTAAAAGCAAGTGGCCTGCTGACCCGATGCCTTTACCAAGACATGCCTGGCCTCGTTTGTATTTAGAAGGGCCAGCACGGCAGGGTCATCAAGAAACTAGGATAGCGACCGGCCTTGGCACAGACCACTGTGCGTACTAAAAGTATCGGCTGCTTCCAACAACCAAAAGTTAGCTGGTTCTGTGAATACAAATAGGGTCATCAAGAATCATTATTTGTTAAACCACTTGTCTAAAACTTAAGCCGGCTGAGAAAGCATTTAAATTTAATCTTCAACATGTAAAGATGGGCAGCCATATCCACAACGAAAACAGAAGATTAGAACGAAAATGAAAACATCTCATCTGAAACTCGTTGTCACAGGAATTGATTCCTTGCCCATGTTTCACCTTTTGAAACTCTAGTTATTCTATTTCTTCAATCACAAGAACTGAATCTACTATAATGGATATTGAACTCCTCATAACCATAATTCAATAAAGTCATAAAAGGTAGGTCCCTAAGGTGAGGAATCTTACTTGTTAGGCTTGACTATAGAAGAGTTTGAAAGGATCTCCCAACAGCACAATATTTAGATAACGTCGATAGCAACAACATCCAATCACTGCCGTGAATCAGCAACAACACCTTGCATCTTGTTTGATACACTATATTGGGACGACTACTGTATAAATAACAAGATTTAAACTTCTTTTTACGTTAAACCTCATGCCAAATAAGTCTTAGGTTAACAGGTTCCTGCACACCTTCTAGAGAACAACTTGGGACGATGAATAACTAACTTCTTGTAGATTACAATGAGAATGACGTCAAACCAAGCAGCTTTTCATAGAAAAACATTCTACTGATATTCCTTTACATTTTTCTAACAATTTATAATGGTAACACCTTTTCATTTCGAGCTATACTAATCGAAATCATCCTGTGGAAGTATTTTTCAGAAGAAGAAACTGATCCATACAGAATTCCAACAAAACACAATATTAGGATGGCAATGGTTTGGCTTGTACAAGGTTGTCAGCCCGGGGATTCCCTGGTGTTTCATTATTCTGGACATGGTTCACAACGGAGAAACTACACTGGAGACGAGATTGATGGATATGACGAAACACTTTGCCCTTTGGATTTTGAAACACAGGGAATGATCGTGGACGATGAAATTAATGCAACAATCGTTAGGCCTCTTCCTCGTGGAGTCAAGCTTCACGCAATCATTGATGCCTGTCATAGTGGTACAGTGCTAGACTTGCCATATCTTTGTCGAATGGACAGGTTTGTGTGAAGCTTAATATCTGTTATAAACTTTTTCCGCACAAAATATTGTTTCGAAAAATATGCACGTATGGATGCAGAACAGGGCGTTATGCATGGGAGGATCATCGTCCTCGATCAGGTGCTTGGAAAGGAACTAGCGGAGGAGAGGTCATATCCTTCAGTGGCTGCGACGATGATCAATCTTCTGCTGATACTGCCGTAAGCCTTATTCTCCATGTTCAAAAATTTTTAGTCCGAGTCCTAGAAATTAATGGGTTGATGAAAGCACAAACTGATATAATTTGAACACTGAACAGGCTCTATCCAAGGTTACTTCGACGGGGGCAATGACTTACGCTTTTATCCAAGCAATCGAACACGGGCAAGGAAAAACTTACGGAAGTATTCTAAATGCAATGCGATCTACCATCCGAAAGACTGCTGATGAGATAGGAGGGAGCATTGTGACAACACTTTTAACAATGCTCTTGACCGGGGGAAGTGCTGGTATCGGAATGTCACAGGTATACTCTCGACTATCATGTATATCTCTTATTCGACAAAATGCTAGGATATGTCATCCATAATCCGTATTTTCAAGAGCAATAACAAAAAGTTGTTTTCACTTTGGATATATCTGAGATTTTATCTTCATTTCGCTGCAGGAACCACAACTTACTGCTAATGAACCATTTGATGTATACACGAAGCCATTTTCACTATGATTTCTGCATACAGAGGACACGTTTCTGCTGCAAAATGAAGTGCCAAGCCATCTTCTGGCTTCTAAGCTATTTAGAAGCATGAAAAATGTACAGTTTTCGATTAATTCATAAATTACAACTTCTGGGTTTAATTAACTTGAACTTTATGGTGTCAATACGAATTGGACTAAAAGCATAATGAAGATCAATTTGGGTATCTTATAACTTGTAATGTTTTCTTTCTGTACATATACATTGAAAAGTTTATCCTTTAATGCAAACTGGTTCATATTCATTGCATGTGTATTTGACAAAGTAATAAGCAATGATGACACGTCTTGATTTGGTACGATGGAGATTGAACAGCACCAACACAAGATTGAAAAAATAAAAAATAAAACCATGTCGAAGGAAAATACCGGCAAAAAACACACAACATATCTTCGTTCCAATATTCAGTCGAATTATCTGGAATCTAATCATATGTTCAAGAAAAACATTAATTAATGTCAACTTCATTTTCATATTTATTTCAAGAAATTATTCTAAATCAGGACTCCGAGATATTTGTTTCAAATAAGCTGAAAACCAGCATTTAAACACGGAAACAAGAGATAAATCAGGAAGGCAATAAAGAAGAATAGAAGAAAAAATAAATGCGTTGAAGACTCGCCTCTCTTCTAGTCTTAACCAGTAAGAGCAGCATTGAGAGCACTATGTACATCAACCCCAATTTGTGCTTCTGCTTTCTCCACGTCGGACATCGCTGAGTTTGGTTTCTGTGTGAACTCAGCGAGTCCTTTCTGAACCAGGCTCGGATCAATTTGGTCAAGCGGTGTGGCCTCGACAGCCATTATATCCGCGACAGAATTTGCATGGATAAAAGCAAACCCACTGCTGAGAAAATATTTTTTTACCTCGTTACCTTCATGAACTGATAAAACACCGGGCTTCAATTCAGCAATTGTGGCCACATGGCCAGGCAAAACACCCATCTGCCCAGTAGTAGCTGGGACTATGACCATGTCAACCTGAAAAGACATGCACACAAGGATGAGAGAAAGACCAGACCACTATAATATGACGACAAGTCGACAACTACACACAACAACAACGACGACGACGACAAACTAAGCTTGTTCCCAATAAAATTAAGGTAGCCCACGTGAATCCTGTTTCTCCACTCTTTTTGGTTTATGCTAAGATCTACCATAAGATATAAAACAACTAGATTGTTAGCAACTAAAACAGACTATGATGGCTTTAGTTTACACACAACACCCTCCTTTCATTTGTTCTGCTAAGATTGCGCTGCTCTTATAACTGGGAGCCCACTTAGGTATACGTAAAACATATCCCCTCCCACAAATCCGTCTTAGCCCATCATTTTGTAAGTTTATTTTACGGATTTTTTTTAACAGACCAACACTCAAAGATGGCACTGTATAAATTCCAGAGTATTAAAACTTTCATTAGCCGATGCAATTTAACTTCTTGTATCTTTCATCAACCAGACTACGGAATTATTCAAAGTTGAAGTATAAGAGAAAGGTTTAGATAATCAACTGTGCACTCATAATTAACAGGAGGTATTGGACGCTGACCACAGATTTACATCATTTGGTATTGGATCTCACTAATCAACAATTCCTACAGTTATCTGTTAAGAGGCTGCAATATAGAACTAGATTGATGACTCTGCACTCCCTGATTACACAATGATCCACGAGTTGGCAAGTTTTATCAGAATCCACATGGACTTTGCATGGAGCTTATATAGTTGAGTGAAATATATAATGATATTATCCCTTAAAACAGTTTAAAGTAACAACATCTCCCGTGGAATAAAAGCAAAATTTCTCAAGAAGTTAATTTGGAATCCACGGGGCGACATGAATTTTCATTATCAAGTCGAAAACACTACCGGAATTCCTTTTGCCCCACTTGAAAACTGGGACAGATCAAAAGATTATAAAAGCAGTACCTATCCTAACAGCGAGTGCTAACAGTAGCAGGGAAATCATTTCGGATGGAATGTGATGGAAGACTAGGCTCTCATACTTTGTTGAGCAATCATGCATGTAGTTAATGGGTTGTATAGTTTAGACAAAGCTCCACGATAGCAATGTTCACCAATGCTGGTTCATTATGGCTAAGGGATAAGGTAAGTCTATCATAATGAGAATGTGGGAATTTTCTCCAAACACTACATCAACTGACCTTTAGATTGTGCCAAGGCTTATCAGGCCTCGAGAGCTTCAGATCTCAAAAGATTGAATCTCCCAGGATCAACTATAATACAAATAGATATGTCATCATACAACGCCTTTCAATTGTAGTATAACTTTATCTTCCTATGCACAAATACAGAAACCTTTTAGCACTAGGCAAGAAAGTTTATTTGAAAAACAATCAAACAGAAAAATAATTAAAAACGGGCAGTTCGAGCTACAGAAAAATTAATTAAGAATGGTACAGTTTAAGAAACCCTTTAGCACTAGGCTATGTTTGGACAGATTAACTTAGTTAGGTAGCAAAGTATGGAATGTATGCTTGGAGGAGCCAAGTCCATGACTGACCGTATCAGAGCCTAAAGCAATTACCCAAACAGCACTAAAAAGCACATGAACTCACTGCTCCAACTCAACAGTGTAAAAGAGAATCTACCTCCACACAAAGCACTATATCTCGCAGCCTTGGACCTGTATTGAAGTGCTTGAAAAAAAAAATAGTACTCGAACAATTTAAAAGATAGATATCAATTTTACACATAAGAATATTTCATTGTAACAATTCTATAGTACATGAGCATGTAATTTCCTTCGTATTGGGTGTAAATTCAATCACAAACGTGTATATGTACATTCGCGTGCACAGAATTTGAGGCTTTGAATCAGAAATCAGATACTGTATCGTCAATTTCAATAACTTCGCACATATCTAAGGTTCCGATCTATATTATTTGAGGTAATCTATCAATTATCAAAGAATACTAATTTGAAACTTTTTCTTGACCCTAAACTTCAGATTATTCTCAAAACAAAAACAAGAAGCAATTGTAAGATACCAGAAATTTCATAGTACAAAAACTCACACCCAAAAATAATATACAAATGCAAGAATAAAGTCATATTTATTCATATAAACCTATAATATACCTCTTTCGCGGATAATAAGGAATCGTAAGGAAGAACAAGATTGACAGTGAGCTTGGAAGGAATTGTAGAAGGGGTTGGTGGGCGAGGGGTCATGAATGCCGACGGAGTCTTCGGTGGGTCCATGTTCGGGATCGCTTTCTTCCAAGTGTCGACGAATTTCGAGTCTGCGGGTGTCTCTGCCACGAAATCGGTCGAGAATGGGCGGCGCCACCTCATAGCAGCTCTGCTCAGGAGGACTCGTGAAGACTGTCTCAACATTTTCCCTCGTGATTTTCTGAATTTGGAGGCTTGAGTTTTTGTGTGCAAAGAAGGATTGGAGTTTTGGGGAAAGTGGAAGATGAGACAGAGANAAACTGCCCTTGGTCCTTTCACTCGCCGGTGAATAAGGTATCTTGCTTACTCACGACCGTCAATGTTCTCTTTCACTCTCATCTCCGTTACCGTCGATCTACTCAAAAGCCATCGCCGCCGCAACGACCTCCGACCATTCCTTCTACCTTCTCTCACCGTCTGTCCATCCCGCCTCCACCCATCGCCGCCTCCACCATTGTTGCCTCCATTCCCCTCTAGCTCGATCTCTCTCTCTCTCTCTCTCTCTCTCTCTCGGCTTTCGAGGCGGTGTTGGTATAAAGGAGGCATAGGTTCCGTCTGCCTATGATGGATCGAAGTTGGTAACAAGCGGTGGAGGGGTGTTTTGTGCGTGCAGATCCCTTTTTTGCGTGCAGATCTTTTTTTTTTTTTTTTCTGTTCTGGTCGTCGGTGCTTTCCTGTGTGGGTGCGCTGCTGATGAGGTATACGTTGTGCTAGTTGAGGTTGAGAGATTTACAGCCAATTTTTGTTGTTGGCTATGGTGGATCTGGCGACGGTTTTGGCGGATCTAGCGACGATTT